ACGCTATAGAACTTTCGGCCGAGAGTTACGAGCCATGTATTTAGCCGTTAAACACTTCACCTTCTTATTACAAGGGAGAACCTTCACTATAATGACTGACCACAAGCCTTTGTGTTACTCGTTCAATACTTCATACGATCGACATTCACCACGCGAAGCACGACAATTAGAATACATCTCCCAGTTTACAACAGATATCCAATACGTCAAAGGACACACTAATGTAGTAGCTGACACATTATCACGAATGTATGTGAACACCCTGATACGTAAGCAGGATATCGATTTGGAAACAGTCGCAAAATTGCAAGTAGACGACTCAGAAATAAAAAGCTGCCAAGTGAAACCTAACTTGATACTTAAACACGTACCGATTCCTTTTTCAGACTCATTTATCATCTGTGACACCTCGACAGGCAGCAATCGTCTAATCGTCCCACACGCTTGTCGACGAAAAATATTCCAGCACTTGCACGGTCTTTCCCACCCAGGCATTAGAGCATTAACAAAGGTCACTACCGAATGTTTCGTGTGACCAAAAATCAACTCGGATGTTAAACGTTGGGCACGTAGCTGTCTCCAGTGCCAACGCATTAAAAAGCAGAAACACACCTCCAGTCCAATTGGGAAGTTCCCTACCTGACAAACGCTTCCAGCACGTGCATTTAGATTTAGTGGGGCCCCTGCCACCATCAAACTCTTTCACGCACATCCTTACTGCAGTAGACAGGTTTACATGATGGGCCATAGCCTGCCCCATAAAAGACACTTCGGCAGAAATAGTCGCTTCAGTCTTCCTCGACCGCTGGATATCTGACTATGGAGTGCCATCATTAATCACAACAGATCGTGGTCCCCAATTTCAATCTGTCCTTCTTCAGGAGTTCACTAAACTTCTGGGGGTCAACCACACTAAAACCACAGCTTACCACCCAGCAGCTAATGGCTTGGTCAAGAGATTTCAATGCTAACTAAAAAGCTTGCTGATAGCACAAAACGACATATCAAAATGGAGCGATGCATTATTTCTTGTACTCCTAGGTATCCGTTCAACAATCAAAGAGAACATAGGGTGTACAGCTACTGAGTTAGTCTATGGTACAACTCGCACATTACCAGGACAACTCGTAGACTCAAATCCAGCAACAGCAACAGACCCAAGCCGTTTTGCCAGCCAATTACTACGAACCATGGATAGAATCAAAGCCGCACCACCTCGGGAACATAACAAGCGAGTGCAACTTGACAAAAACCTAGAAACATGCAAGTTTGTTTTCGTCCGTGTTGATGCAGTTAAAAAAACCATTGAAGCAACCGTACGAAGGACCATAACAAGTAATCAAACGAACAAGCAAATACTTCGTTATCAACAAAAATGGGAACAAGGAGACAATCTCCATAGACAGAATAAAACCAGCTTTTTACGAATTCCTTCAAGACAAAGAAGATACTACTGCACTTAACCAACCCCTCCCAGCAACCACCACTAGAGCAGACGAGGAAGAAAAGTCGAGTAGCAAACCTACTTGTTTAACACGTCTAAATCAAATACTATCTACATTTATAGACTGTTATTGGAGTATGTCACATCCTACGTTGGATTATATCACTGGAGAGTTCGCCAACCCGATCAGAATTACCAAGCATTTATGATTGAGGATTTACAATACCGGACCCAATCAGAACACGCAACATTTGGTGAATTTAAGTAAAGTCCCAAATTTTTATTGTATTTGTAACAATTAACTGGTATGTATTAATATTACTATTGATCTTTAGTAACTTTGTTCATACTTTTCGCGTTCATATTTGTCTGGTCCACCACAATACCAATTGTACGGGGAGGGTGTGGAGATAGGGATGGTTGTCGTGGATATCTCCACGAGGGTATTCCAAATTATTCAAATGGTTCCTGACGGAAGAGGAGAAGCTTTCGTTTAGTGAGCTTTCGTATCTAATAGTAGTGGATCACCGATGCCTCGTGGCTGGAACCTAGGTACATTCTACGATAAGAAGGAACATATTAGTAAATTATAGTGAGTTAAAGTCCTGAGCCCTTAAGAATATGTCAAGTTCCCTCTTAAAGTACTCCTGCGAGGTCGCTCAAACTACTTCGGTCGGCAGCAAATTCCAGAATTCGACTACTTGTAAAGGGTGAAAGGAGTGCTCACAGTCAATTGTGCCATGATGTCATGATGTTAGCCCTGAGCTTAAGTAGATAATTAATAGGATACGCAGGAGTGTTTAAGATGTTATAAGTCGTTAAAATGTCACCTCTGAGACGCCTATATTCTAATGGCCAAGGGTCTAGAAATCACAGACACTCTTCATAAGGTTTGAATTTTAGTGCCTTAACTGATTTCGTGGCTTGCCGCGTATTCCATTTCATGTCTACTTCCAATTTTCAGTGATGTGTGTTCTACGGCCTTGCCCTTTACCGTTTACCTTCAGGATTCCGTGTTACGACTTGCCTCGTGATTCAGTTTGATGATCTCCATAACATATGTCCTATCCACTTTTAACGTCTTTTCCTAATCTCCTACTCAGCTGGAAGTTGATTTTTCCTCTTTCACAGTAGATTGTTGTTGATTGTATCCGGCCTGTCGACACTTATTCTTCCTCCTTAATCTTTCTGAATACAATGTCGAGCATGATTGCAGTTACTTCTATGTCTGACCTCGATGCTTCCTCTGGTATATTGTTAGGTCCTGCTGCCTTCCCCCTTTTATTTATCTGATGGTCATTCTGGCTTCTCCCGTCGTTGGTGGAGTGACATCTATATGAAGGTCTGAAGGTGCTGCTCCAATGTCCGGTGGATTTAATGGATCTGTAGTGGCATTGGACTATAACCACACAATCTTCAAAGTTGAACACAAAACTGCTCGGAAAATAAATATTCAATATTTAACGCGGAGAAGTACCAAACGATGGAAACGGCGGGAACAATGAATTGAATGAATTGGAGTTGATCGCATGGCATGGCTCGGCCATTCAGGCGTGGTCTATGCTGAATATTACCTCATATCTTTTATTCATATTAAACATATTGTTCTTTCTCTAGCCTAAGCTTGTTTTTCATCATGTATTAGCAGTTGTTACGATACAGTAAGTTGGTGTAGACGATGATGTGACTTCCACGTAAGATCTTATAGATTAGGCAGTTATATCGTGACAAATCTACAATTTTAGGATTAGGTCTATTATTAGAGCAGTACTAATATCATAGTAGACCATAATTCTACAGATCTAGGATCAGTGAGGCATGCCTATTCAAGACTTTATCAAAGTGTTCTACCCATCCGTTCCTTGAATCTCAGAGATTGACTTACCTTATTTACCCTTGATTGGTCATTCTGGTTTACTATATATCTCTGGTGATTTCTATGTTGTGTCATATTGTTGTTTCATATTTACTTCTCTTGCAGCTATTTCTGCTGGCGTTGCAAGGTCTTTTTTATTGTCGGCTCTAATGTTTCTCTTCACTTTCCTAATTGCTTCCGTGTATTTAGCTTGTGCCTTGGATTTCTCTGTTCCTGTTTGGCTGTTGTTAATTACTGTCTTTTTGTCCTTCCCTTCTTGAATCATGTGAAGGTTTTCTATAGAGATCCGTTCCTTATGATGATGCTTCTTGCGGCCCAGCACCTCCTGACACGTTGAAGTTAACACTTCTTTGGTACCTTTCCAGTTGTCCTCCATGGTGGTTTCTCCTTCTTTCAGTGGATCCTGTAAGGCTTGGACCCGTTGTTGAGAGTTATCTTGAATTCGTCGAGTTTGTAAGTATTTCAAAGGAAGATTGTATTGAACCTTTGTAATGCTGTTCTCCCAGTTGTCCAGTGTCTCATCTTGGCCAGAATCGGGTGTTGATCTGAAGCTATGTCAGCTCCTCTCCTGGTTCTCACGTATTCCGTCAGGACGATCAGGTCTTTTCCCGGGTATTTTTCTATTATCGATAGCATCCTGTCATTAAACTGATCTACATCATCATCGCTGCTATCATCAGTAGGTGTATAACATTTCATAACATTCATCGTGATTCCTTTCTTTCTTTTGAAGGATGATGTGATAGACCTAGGTCCACGAGATTGCAATCCTGTGAGTGCATTAAGTGCTTCTCTGGACAGCACTAGAGTAACTCCCTGAGTGTGTGGAGCATTTCTCTCCTCGTCACCAGAGTACAGCAGAATCTCTCCCTATTCAGCCTTAGCTGTCCAACATGGGTTCGATGGGTTTCGCTAATTCCGAACACTGCCAAGCTGCATTTCCTCATTTCGGTTGCTACTTACTAGTCCTCCCGGTCCCTCACATTGTCCGGATATTCTACGTACCTGTAGAAATTGTTGCTCTGATTGTCAGAAGGGGCATCGTCGTCATGACTTCCGAAGAATCTCTGTTTTAACACTGAGGCGTCATAGTTCTCCCTTGAACTCACAGGAGAGAGTTTAAATGGTTTAATTTTTTAATTCTAGTTAGCGTTTTTTAACAAGGATGGTTTCCTCGGAATGGGGTCCAGTTAAACCTATTTTCACTCGACAGCAGTCAACTGATGTTTTCGTCTTACCCACCTTACAACTTCGTGCCAACGATTTTGAGTGTTGAAATACCTTACGCCAACCCCTAGAAAACCGATATGAAGGGTCATTTAAATTCCTTCATTGCAAACCTATGTATTATATTATCGATAAGAACGGAACTAACGATAACATTATATTTCATAAGTCTCTCTATTTTATCAAACAACACTAAGTATAAATTGAATCTCCACAGCAATACTTGCAGTAGCGATTAAGTAGGTTGACCGTCATATTACACCCAAATTACTAACAACCGGAACTCTTCAGAGAACCATGAAGTTACAACTGTTCTTATACACAAACAAGAATAATACCAAGTGAGATATCCTTTTCATCTGGACTACACAGCCCTCTACTCTTAAGTTGAGGATTGATGGGAACAATTTGGAGATTGAACGGACGTCGGAGCGGTGTTTCGGGCTTTGCGTTATGGCTAGGTTTGGAGCCAAGGTTAGGGAACTGCGATTTCTCGTTGCCCAGACTGCTCATTCGAGCTCTGGAATTAGGTTTGTTAACTGCAGTTTTGTCCAAAACCCATCTTTATTTTCCGGGCATTTTCATCCGCTAATTTGATTTTTCATCGACTAGATAGATTTATGTGATCGATGAACTTTACATTTAAATGTAAAGTTCCATACTTGAGTAAGTAAAGTTTAGTCACCTTTCCGCAATAACTGAAATTTTTGTTCACGTTGATGATTGAAGCAGCAATTCGGTTATGCTTACATGTTTAAGCAGTCGAAAATCCGAATTATGAGTTCGGTTTGAATAGTGAAAAGACTTCCATATATTTGTAAATTTTTTGCAAATCTGCATGTACCTTGGTTTTCTTTACCGCTATGATCATGTAGGCCAGTTTGTGAGTACATACTGATTAGAAATGAATCGCTAACACTCGTCTTATCATCCTAGTCTTTTGGTTTAGATTGGCTACGTACTTTACTACCACTTTTACAAAATAGTGCATATTATAACACGATATCTCGAAATGGCCACTTTCGCGTTGTAGAAAGTGAGTTATGAGTTCTTCCTTAAATATACCATTGACTCATTCATTCTTGAGAGGAACCTGAAGATCATACTGTACTATTTTTATATCCACTTAAATCAGGAGATGTAATTGTATAGTATAATCGTAGGAATCCCAATAAATAATAAAATTTTGTCGGTTATCTTAGTAATAGTCAATCGCGATGTAGCCTTTTTGTTAACAGTATTTTGTTGGTGTGAGTCTTGTCAGTCAGCTACAACATAGGACCAGGCACATATATGCATCGGTCCAGGTTGCCATACCTCATTAACACAACAAGATGGACACTGGATTCATAAAAGTAGTTAATTCAGAGGTGGTAATATATAAAAGAAAGATTGCAATAAGGATTTAGTACAGGAAGAAAGAATTAGCTCGTAGAAAGAAAGATATGAAGCGATTTTAATCTCTTAGTTTAAGGGAAGACAGCAAGTGTATACACCGACGCCATTGTGATCGATTCTGAGCCATGTCACCCTCAGTCTCCAACCATTGGTTACGATAGTTACGTGGACCCCAACCAAGTAGTCTGCATCTCCCAACATGACTCAGACTAGAAGTTAGTGACTTCAAGCACTGATGCCACGTTTTGGTTTAGCCACCCCTAACTTTCTTCCAACCATCCCGAACACCGGTTAGCATTGCGCGTCGTGGTAATCGGTGTTCGGGCATACGTAACACGTGGCCCAACCATCTCAGTCGATGAAGATTAACAACCTCATCAACTGATTTACCAACATTCTATAATGCCTTGCGTCTAATTTCACTATTACTTACCCGGTGATCCCAGCAGATGCCAGCAATATTTCTAAGGCATCTGTGGTCGAATACTAGTAGCTTAAGAGTGTCTTCTACTCTTAATGGCCATGTTTCGCTGCCGTAAATTAAAACAGAACGGACTGCCGCGCAGTATACTCGTCCTTTTATTGATAGACGGATATCTCGCCTTCGCCATAGGTGACGTAAGTTGGCAAAAGCCAAGCGAGCTTTTCGAATCGGTGCTGAGATTTCGTCAGACACCAAACCATTAGGGCTGATCAGACTTCCAAGATAAGTGAAGTTATCAACGCGTTCGACTACTTCACTCCCTATCCTTAGTTCAGGTGTTGACGCAGACCAGTCCTGAAGCAACAACTTGCATTTAGAGGGAGAGAAGCGCATTCCAAACATTCTGGCATTGTTGCTTAGTGCTACCAAAAGACTCTGCATTTTATCAGCGTCTTCACCAAACAGGACTATATCATCTGCGTATTCGAAGTCGATAAGTGGACCTCCTGGATGGAGATCAATACCCGAGAATTCAGTCGACGAGAGTGTTATTTCCATCAATAGGTCTATGATGAAGTTAAACAAAAATGGGAAAGTAAACAGCCTCGAAGGACACCACTTGAGGTTGCAAAAGCAGATGACAGTTCGCCATAAGCTCTGACTCGACTGGTAGTGTTCGAGTAGAGAGTGTTAGCTAGATTTTAATTGTAGTTTCCAGGTAAATAATATTAAAACACTAAAAACCACTAGTTTAAGGTGTGGGTGATTATCCTAACCAGTGTTCAGGGACTTTAGGTGATATGGTCTAAAATTTTCCACAAGGGCGCAGGTATATTCATTTATCTTTCCTAAGTTTCCGGACCTCAAAGTTTTGTTATATCTCTATTTTCTCCTACACCTAGGCTTTTCTGCTACCATTCGTACTATTACTACTTTTACTTCTCTGGGGTTCGTCATAATAAATATAGCTTGCGGTGGTAATGAGGTGCGGGAACTTGAACCAACACACGTATGTGTTAGGTTCTACATTACATATAAATGATAACTTTCGTTCGTACGTATGATGAATTATCAATTTTAAGCTTTCAGAAAATCAAGTCTGATTGCTACCACAACACACTAATATTAATGAACTTGATATAAATTTATATTGGAAATTGACAATGCAGCTAACGGATTATTATGCGTCGTCTTTCACTTTGTCTAATCCTCCCTACAACCGTGAAGTGTTAGATTGGATAACAATCCACAGTATATCCTCGTCAGTCATGTGGTCTGTTTATCTAAGCCATCTTGATTCTACGCATAATTAACTAGAAAATTCATTCAATCGTATTTACTGACGATTTTAAACCGTGCGAAGTTATTGTTCCCTTATCAATGAATGCTTTATTTGAGTGTCAAGGTTCTTTTTAGCGTTGGCTTGTTATGGGTGCGCAGATGTATTCATACTCTTATTATAGAAAATGTCAACAGTAAAACCATAAACTGCGTTTTGTACATTCCTTCAGTGATATGCTGAGATACTATATTATCCAATAATAAAGTCGTCCATCTCATTGATCATAGCTATTATTATCCTCTGAAGTATTTTGATCACCGCTACACAGAAATGTTGTTCGTTAAGCTAATTTCACACAAACCATAAGAGCTATATCTGTCTAAAATATATGAATATATTTCTTATGGAATCGATTTTATGGGACAATAAAATCATTTTTATAAGTTGCCAAGGTTTATTTAAATAATCTACAGTCCTCATTTTTCTGTAAACTTACAGGGATTTTATTTCACGTCACTATCTGTCTCTAAAAACTGCTAATCCTCATGTGAAGTTTATGATTCGTGAATCAGAAGGGATCACACCAAAAGTGTTCGCTCGTTATGGTTAGTTTAACTAATTTTTTAATGTTTACTTTCTTATTATAGAGATGGGGAAGGAAGACTGCATTTCAGTGGCAAATAACACAGCTGATGATATAATTTCGAAACTTAAGACTCTAGATCGAGCATAAAATGTTTTTTGTAACGATTCTACGTAAATTAGTTTATAATTAATAACTTTGAGGGTAAATAGCATTGTTGACAGCTTTATTCGTTTCTGTCAGTGAAAGAAACATTTAACTCGTTGAAATATAAATCAATTATCGGTGAACTTATGTTTTAAAACTCAAGGGTTTCGTGAATGTAAAGTTCTAATCCCAGATTAGTTCACTAGAAAAAACGGCAAAGTATTTTTCAAGGAATAGATGTAGCGGGTTAACCTTCTCGCACAATAGGGGATCGTTTCTGATTGCTTAATTTATCAGCAAATCGCATGAAAAATCTATTACGAGGAATATTCTTCACGTTGCAGATTAAACAAATGGTGGTAGACTGTCACATGAAGATGTTGGATGTATTTGAGCTGTAAGTCGTTCACAAATCCATGGATGTCTTGGAAATTGCCATATGGAGGTATCAAATATGTTGACTATTGAGTTATAATCGCGCTGATATTGACGATGGGAATCGCATTTATGGTGAAGTAACACTAGATTAACTGTTTCTGTTTTTTTTCTTTTACAAGGAATTCAAGGTAAATATATGTATAGAAAATTTAAATTATTCACATAAAACTGATTATGGCTTTTGGGAAATTCTGAGTTCCTGTTAGGTTTTTCGTGACTTCAGATGAATCAGTAGACAGAAATGGACTTAGTTTTTGCAATATGTTCATTTGTAAAACTGCTAACAAGTTTACGTATATTGACTACTTTTCAACAAGGAGTGATAACTGTGTTACATATAGTCTAATGACCATTCTCAAAGTACTAGATCAACGTTGCTTATCGCATGTATGCTACTTATAAGATTTTAGTATGGGTCTTTTATCCGTAACTCGTTTTCCCTTAGAAAAAGTTCATATTTCATTATTTTTAGGTATACTAATTATTGTACAACTCAAGTGTCTGTAATCGAAAGTCTTCGAAGTCGTAGTTTTTAAGGTTCGTTTGTAAGACTAATTCATGGACCCGCCTTGAGCGGCGCTAATATGAGCTTGAAAAATGTCGTCTGCCTACTAGGATTAAAAAGAGCTATAAATTAGTGTAATAAATCAGAATCGGGATCTATAATTAGAAGTTAGGGTTAGGAATTAGAGTAAGGATTTTCATCACGAACTGACATCATTTATAACGCTAGAATGCTATTTAGCCATATAAATGAATGGATTTCGCGCCAAAATTCAAGACTCACCATCGTAAGTGTGATTGGTTCGTCCACAAATTATAGTCTCGTCGTTGGTAAATGCTCTATATTATCATGAATTACGGGCTTCATGTATCAAGTCCTGTCTTTACTACCTTGACATCTAAGTCACTTGTATAGATCAGATATTCACACTACGCCAGGTTCTAGAACACAGACACACATTCAGACGCCCCACAATAATAGTATTTCTCGACCTTAAGGCGGCATTCGACTCTATTGATCGTGAGGTTCTGTGGCAGTGTTTGTCACTGAAAGGAGTACCAAAGAAGTACATTAACCTTATAAAGGCTCTCTACTCGAACACAACTGGTCGAGTGAGAGCTTATGGCGAACTTTCATCAGAATTGATTACATCAAGTGGTGTTCGTCAGAGCTATCCACTCTCTCCATTCTTGTTTAACCTTGTCGTCGACGTACTTTTAGACATAAGACTTTCCTCGTCTAGATTTCCAGGGGTTGAACTTCTACCGGGAGGTTCACTTGTTGACTTAGAATATACTGATGACATAGTTTTATTTGGTGAAGACGCTGACAAAATGCAGAGTCTTCTGACCACTCTAAGCAACAATGCAAGCATGTTCGGGATGCGATTCTCCCCCTCGAAATGCAAAATGTTGCTTCAGGATTGGGTTACATCGACACCCGAACTAGTGATAGGGAGTGAAGTAGTTGAGTGTGTCGACCGCTTCACTTATCTTGGAAGTCTCATCAGCCCTTGTGGTCTGGTGTGTGACGAGACCTCAGCACGGATACAGAAGGCTCGACTAGCTTTTGCCATCTTGCGTCATTTATGGCGTAGGCGAGATATCCGTCTATCAACCAAAGGACGGGTTTACTGCGCAGCAGTTCGTTCCGTCCTACTTTATGGCAGTGAAACATGGCCGGTAAGAGTAGAGGATATCCGTAGGTTACTAGTTTTGATCATAGTTGTCTTCGAAATATTGCTCGTATATCCTGGGACCATCGAGTAAGTAACTCAGTTGTTAGGAAACGGGTATTAGGTAAGGATGGCAAATCCATTGATGAAGTAGTGAAACTTCATCAGTTGAGATGGCTGGGACACGTGTTACGTATGCCCAACGACCGACTACCTCGACGTGCTATGTTCAGTGGTATAGGGGTAGGTTGGAAGAAAGCTAAGGGCGGCTAGGCCAAAACATAGCACAAGTTCATGAAGTCACTGACATGTGGACTGAGTCATGTTGGTAGGTGTAGACTACCTGGTTGGGGACCACGAGATGATAGCAACCGATGGTTAGAGACCCTGAATGACATGGCTCAAAATCGTTTGCAATGGCGCAGGTGCATCCACTCTTTGTATTCTCTCAAATTCTTATCTTCTGATTTCTTCATGTCCCTTTCTTTTTTTCTCTTTCCAAATTTACTTCACTGGATTATAGTCCTTGAATAACATCTTCAAGCCCTATTTTTTCTGATTACAGCTTATAATCTTACTACATCTAGCACTACGGGATTTGAATCGACCACTGCATCTCTGTGCTAATGTGGTGTGGCAACTCGAACTGATGAACGTACGTACGAAGTTCTACGTTGGGACTGACTGACTGACTGATATTCACTTATAGTACTTGTTAATATTCAGTAGTCAGTTTCATTTTTAGTAATTTCTGAACGTATAGTGTAACGTTTATTTGTAATATTCTTGTGTATCTACATAAACCCAAAACATTTACTGTATTTATTATTGCAATCACATTCTCTCAATCATTGTAACATTTGTTCCCGGTTTCTGTTTATCCCTTGAATCTTTTAACGCGACAGTTTCTATATTTGTGTGCTTCGATGGAATTAACAGGTTTACATATTTATTTGGTCTTTATTATTTATTTGAACAGTAATTTCTTATAATAAGTAACACACTTTTTAAAGATTGTGGAATTCATGTATGATGATCATCTGCAGTTATAGACAATCACACTTGATGCATTATGGATACTTAATAGAACACTAAAGGAAAATTTTATATGATCGTTTGTAATTTCGTTTTTGTGACGTATTTGTTTTGTCTTAATACATCAATCTAACACAAATCTCTGTGATGATCGACCTTAGTAATTTCAAATCAGAGAATGTTTGACATCAAGCAAATTTTGTTATGTTGTATTTAATGTGTCGATTTGAATGTGTTTTGCCTTACCAAAACTTTCTGAACTGACAACATCGTTTACTAACACTAAGTCTCCCGAAGACTCATCCATCAATACCTTGTGAAACAGTAGTGATTGCAACCCAATATGCTCCTCACAGCAGCTGGTTTATTCGTCTTCCCGGTTGTTATCTCTTTCATCTCGTGTACACCCGGTGCGTTGCACTCGATCAACAGTTTGGCGTTCTCATCCTCTACTCTCGGGAAACTTATGTCTTTTAAATGGGACCAGGATACCATTTGTTGCGCCGTTGGCACAGTTCTGTAAACCGCCGGTAGTTTTTTGACTGTCAATACTTTCTGGACCTTCAAGGATGACGACAAATCTATCGACTGCAACTCTACATTGGATAACAATGACGACTCATTACTAAGAGTCTTTAAAGATACCGTTTTTGGTTTCCCCTCAAGGCCTAACTTATCAGCTAGGTCATCAACTGTAAGAGAGGTATCTGACCCACTATCTAGAAAGGCGCAAGTATGAATAATTTTCTCACCATTTTTTATTCATACAGGCACTACTCCAAACGCTACTGGTCTCTGTATACACTTAACGACTTCCTCCGTACAAAGCTGAGTGTTGATGTGTGCATTATTATTATTATCTCCTTGCTCTTCCCGCTTCCTATGTAACAACGTATGATGCCTCCAACCACATCCTTCGACGGCACATAACCTCGGTGCTCGACAGTTTCTTGCTATGTGGTTCGCTTTTAGACAGACATTACACAACTTCTTCCTTGATGCAAATTCTACCCTTTCATTAACATTTTTGTCTCTAAACCTTTCACATTGATCTAAGGGGTGGTTTCCAGTACATAACAAACATGACAACCCACGAGTCCTTGGTCTTACATATGGAGTGACGTCAGACTCACTCGTGTTAGCGAACGACACTCGCTTTATATCCTGAATCAAAGTGTCTTTTAATATCAGCCATAGATTGTCTTTGGTTGCGATTAGAAGGGTCTCCGGTGACAAGTAATCCATATCTAGTATTAGCAATTTCAGCTTGCTCCTTTACAAACTCAACAAGATCGGTGAACAGAGGTTCTCGGCCTCCTCTGATAATCTTATAAGCTACCTTTAGCCACTCTTGTTGAATGTGCGTTGGTAATTTCAGAACTATAGTTTCAATAGTTCTAGAAGAGTTCAAATCAGTAACGTAATTCATCTGCTCGAGAGTCAAACTACATGCTTGCATTTCTCGAGATAGTCTTCTCAAACCATCTGGTTGATTCCTTATATTGGGAAAGTTTAACAAGTTGTCGATAAACGTGCGTGCTACAACGTGTTTTGGGCCAAACGTTTCCTCTAAAAGCTTTAGGGCTTGATGATAACCTATCTCTGGTTCTAGTATAGTACAATGAAGGATAGCGGCTTTCGCTTCTCCGTCACAATATTGAATCAAGTAATTTAGCTTAGCTCTAAATCCAATGTTCTCACTCCCAATGCATTCTTCTAAATTTCTAATGAAGTTCCAATAATTTGTCGGTGTACCATCAAATCTTAAGACTTTTCTTTTTGGTAAATACAGATTTTTTAATATTGTATTCTCACTGTTGCTTACTGATTGGTCAGAACCTCCACGTTTCT